TTCGTACTTTATAACCTGAACAATAGTGAAAATATTGTACTCTATAATCGTAGTAGAAGTTATTTATATATGGTACATAATATCCGATGAAAAATCAAGAGTATTTTGGCCGGACCAGTAAAATATGTACGTAATACCCCACTTATGTTATAAACGGAGTTTACAGTATTCATTATTCGTAACCTTTGCGGGCCGGTGATAGTTTTCCCACTGCGGTTTATATTTTGTGTAGCTTTTGACGCTTTTCTCTTTTCCATTTTCGGCACACAATTACAAATAAAAGATAGGACATTTTTAATCATTTTGCTTATAAACAATCGAGCCAAATCTTTCAACGAATAATGTCAAACTCAAAGTCCGCCGCTGTAAAGCAATCAGGCGACCAACAATGCAAAGAAAGTGCAGATTTTATATGGCCGCGTTACAAAATGAGATTTTAATTTGTAATAGATTGTTTTGCGTACTACATATTTTTTTAGCAGTACGCTAAACTGAAACGGAGTACAATACTATATAACATAGTACGGTTAGCAACCCTGGAGTTCAGTGACATCATTACCGTCGCTCTCCTAATTCGCTAATCAAATCATCCAGTCCGCAAAGCTTGGCGTATACACATACTAGCCGGTTTAAAGTTTATTTTCATACGACATTTGGGTCAGATTAAATATTTCCTAGGATTAAAATTTCACAAAAAAAAAACGCGATAAAGCACTTGTCGCGATTTGTACGTAAAAAAAACTTGCTTGTTGAATAATTATTCGTGTCACGCATAAAGTCCTTGACGAAAATTAAGCGAACATTCGGATTCGTATTGATTAAAAGTTTTGGATGTGAATGTGAAAATGTCATTTAAATAGCACTAATTCTATCTTTGGGGACATTTTCTTCGATACGTTCCACATTGTTTGATTGATCCAGGTTTTGTTGACATTCGGATATGAAGAAAAATATACCAAAAAACCATAACGCCAATTTATTATCTTTACATTACAAATCCGAGTAAGCACAAAAAATATTTAAGGCTTAATACATTTTTTATTGTTTTTTTTACTCTATTAAATCTAAAGTTAATGTTAATTGCTTAACAGACGATGATATTTCAGATGAGTTGTTGTTGATAGACTAGAACAAGGCAGATAGCCTTGGGTGTAGTGAAAAATATAATGTTGTCAAGTTAATTTGAAACCATACGGCGGAGTACACTGATGATTAGCTTCCTAGGCCTCCTCCCTAGAGCTACCAAAGCATTATCAATAATGTTTCCGACACGAATTAAAATTTTATGGACTGTGGCTGACAAAAAGAACCAATAATTCGACATATGTTTTTGCAGTTTCAGTGCAGTAACTAACACAACTAATTTTTTAGTTAGAGGAACATCAATAATTTTAGCAGCAAAGCAAGGAATTGCGAAAATTTCTCCTTGCAGTGTTGCCAGTGTTGGTGATATTGAATTTGAATTTTAAACAAAATAATATAAGATTTATACATAAATATTACGAAGGAGAGTAACTAATTTTATGAGACCAATCATGTGTTTTTAAAGCAAACTTATTCGACCTATGAAATAGTGTATAGTTCAAAATTGTTTTTCCAAAAAACTGAAAATTTATTATCAAAGAACAAGTAAGCTGAAAAAAAAATACAATTAAAAAACCAACTCATAGCTTGAGTAGATTTTCGAATAAAACAGTTAATTATAAACTCTCTAAAAACAACAAAATATATTTTTATTTTCTAAGTGAAACTCGGTTTTCCATTTTCCCAAAAAATATTTAGGCCCGTGTCCGACGCATTTTGCATTGTGCTCCACAACATATTCGAAAAAAAAAGGGCAGAAAATACGTTTTTATATCCGAAAACAATTTATCCTTTCACATTGTTTGTACCGCACACGCTCCAATTTCACGTACATATCAGCGAATTAAAATCAATTGGAAACTGTTAGCGGCGACTAAAAATAATCCCGACGGTTTGTTATTTGTACCGAAGTACGGTATACGTGCACCGAGCCGATATAACGTATACGCGGCAATAAAAAATAAAAATTTCAAAGGGATTTAGAAAGAAAACACAGGTATAGAGGTTTAAACAAGAGCATGAAATAACAATGTCACCACTAAAGCTCCCTTAATATGAGAAATTTTTTAATTAACTCATTAAGAAATGTATTTATTTATTAGTATATGTTATTTATAAAATTGACGATTGACGATGTCAATAGGTGCATTTGAAGAATTTCTTTGAAATCCAGTGTTTAAGATAAATTTAAAGCATAACATTTTATTAAGTATTGTATATATAAGTATTTAAGTAGTTTGATTGCCCTGTTTGTTTCTTTTTTTTTAATTAGGGAGTGCCAAAAAAAGTTGGAAGGTTGGAAAAAAAAAACAATTAATAAAACAAACATTAATAAATAATGTTCCCATATGATCCAGCGGGCACCGCATATATGTATATAGGACGATTCACGTTCATATCTATATCTATATTTTAAAAACGTTTTTCACAGATGCAGATTTTGAAAAAAAATAACCACATGTTTATTACATACTGACTTTCTTGTCGGAGTAGAAAACTAGATACATTAGTAAACTATATATTTTTTTTTTTATTCAGCCCTGTAATTTTTGGTCAGTTTCTTTGAGATGATAGCGACATATACCAAAAGTTCCATATTCCTTTGAACTTTCGCGATATTAAAAGAAGAAAAGAAGACAAAGAAGAAAGAAGAACAGAGAAAATTATTCAAAACCGACGCAGGAGGAATCCAGAAGTTTTATAAAAAGTATTCAGATGAGATGTTGACTATATCCAATGTCACGTTCTTGAATTTTAAGAACAAAAAATATTGTAGGCAAATAGCCAAAAGGGGACGTGTTTTCCTAAAATCTTAAAAAGTATTCTAGAAAAACTTTTGAAATGTTTAGGGAGAAATCAATTCTATTGGCCATGGACAATGGAAATGAAAGAATGCAAGATTATATATTACAAATTCGTTTTTTCTTTTAATATCAAGTTCCTAACAGAAACTTTATTCGGCTGCTTAAGACTAACAAAACCTCCAGTTCCCAAAGTTGGGGATTTTTTGTTATATACAAACCTTTCTTGTGTTCATTTTATTAAAGAGTTGATAGTAAATACATATTGGAACAAGTAAGATCATAGAATATAATGGAGTATTGGACTACTGTTCTCCGATGTGATTCTATTAAAATGGATAGTAAAAGGCATACACGCTTTTTTGATCAGTTGACCATCAAAATCATAATATATTATGAAGAGTGAGTGAAACTTGGCAACATAGAATCCTTCTCCCTGTGTCGCTTCTATTACACTGTAAGTACGGGTGTTTGGTTAGCAGCATACGTTAATATTCCAATGTGCCGAGCCAATCAGAAGGCAGGAGCATCAATGTAATCCGAAGCGCGCTCGTAATAATTTAATTTTTAATTTTTTAGAAATAACTTGACTTGCCAATTTTGTGAGATGAAATTTTCAAGTACATCGACCAAAAACCGACATATACGGGCAAAACACTCGGGCCAAGAAGGATCTGGATCTGAAAGAATGCATCATATTTTATGCCCAATATGCACAGACAGGACTATTTCTTTTTTACTTCATACAGACTTAATTAAACATTTAAATTCTTTTCATAGCTTAACTATTTTAGGAATTTTGAAGAGTTTTCAGCTTGGAGGACCCAAGAGAATAGGGAAGTAAATTATGCTTGCTGTACACGAACAAAATATCAACACGGTGAAGAAAAAATATTTTATGAGTGTAACAGAAGTAATTACAAAGGTTGTGTGTTTACTAATATGTGAGTAGGCATATAATGTCTCATATTTTTTAACGATTTGTCAGCTCAGCTAAAAAACGAAGTGTGAAAACTGGAGGCAGTATTCATATTCACGGGACATGTCCTTCAAGAATTGTAGTTAACATTTCAACTGGGGGTAAATAATATTATAATTTTATTGTTATCTACAGATTAACTATATTTTTTTAGGATTTGTGACGGTAAAGTTTGTCGAAAAACATGTAGGACACACTGATGAACCTAAGGACCAAGAGATTATCAAAAGCTGAACAGGAGACTACAGTCGAAAAACTAAGTGCAGGAGTTTCAAATAATAAAATAATTGTAGATTCACGAATAAACGTTGTCACGAGAGGAGATTTGGCTGGCATACTTAATCAGGAAATTTAAAATTGCTAAGAGGAGAGATGCAGATGACATGATAGCAGTAGCACTAAAAGTTGAGGAATGGAACAAGCAAGAAAAAAATTATGCGTTTTTATTCAAGAAAAGTGGTAAGTACAATTATTATTATTTAAAATGTAGGAAAAGGCAATGTATATTACTTTTGCACAAAAAAAAATAGTATGAGTAGTGTTATATTAACTAAATATTTAAGTTTGGTTTGGGTAAATTTAGGTTGGTTAGAGTTTTGTATATATTATTGAGTTATTAAGATGTAAATAAATTTTATTGTCATATTTTATAAGTCAATTTACCCTCAAAATACAAATAAAAGCAGTATAAACACATTGTAAATTTTATTTTATAAACTTTAAATAGAATTAACACATTAACCAAAGTTTACTTGGTCAATGATTAACAACAAATAATCTAAGCGATCATACTTATGCGACATGCGTTTTCCAATCTGCCAAGAAAGTAAAGAGGGCTATGCGGATGCCAACTCTAAACACTTCCGATTCGGTTTGAATCTGGCGCCATAGTCAAAACTAGCCGCCGCGTTCCGATTGGCTCGGCACGTTGGAATATTATTGTATGTTTTGGTTAACAGAGAATTTTGTATCTTAAAATCCCCTTCGGACGTATTTTTTTTTATTTTTTCAAGAATTGTTACGCAGACGACGTGAAATATTTATCCCCGGGCGGTCACGCGCTCAAACGTCACGTTACAATTTACCAACATAATCGTGGTATTCATAAACGTTATAAAAACGATCGTAGCCCTTACCTGTAGCATACTTCGCTGGGGTCCACCCACACGGTCAGTTCGGTGGGCAGTCTCAGGTCCGTGTACCGGAGCCCGCATTTGCTGGCGGCCATTTCCAGCGTGAGATCAACGGGACTTACGCCGTTCACACGAATACAACGATATCCCTGGCCTTTGCTGGGCAGGTCCGGGAACCAGTGCTTCTCAAATCTACCGAACAAACAAAACGAACGTTAAACACATGGATTTAAAAGAAAAAATAAATAAATCGAAGTAAAAATCAATTCCGCATGGTCAAATATTGTTTTCTTTTAATGCTCTCTTTCGATTTTTTTTTTCATTGGTTGACCTCATAGCCCGTGCTATTTTCGAGAGATAAGAGAGTTTACAAATTACATGTTTTCCGAGGCAGATGAGATAACGCATCACAGCCACGGATATCAAACGCGAGTTTTCATACCCGCATGAACCTTTTTTTATCACCTACCCTGAAAATTAGATTAATGGATTCGCTGGCTCTTTATTAATCTATTTATGCAGAGGTTGTTTACGTTCTTAGCTGGATCAAGAAGATGTAACCACAATACAGAGTGCAAAAGTCGTGTTTACGGTATACGGTTACTTCAATGGAAAAAGGTCGACAGTTTCATGCAGTCGTTCTTTATCATAATACAATTATAAATGCTTGTCCTCATACTTCCACAAAAAAAATAAAATATCCAACTGAGGTCTTAATTCTCTTCTCCTACGTCGAAAGAGAATTTTCCACTGTAATAAAAATTTAAAAAATTATATAGTCACACCTCTTAGAAAAAAATAAAAATATTTTTTTACAGTCAATCTGTTGCCCAAAAATAATTTAGCCGAAGTACATTTCTATTGCATAATCTTTTTCTTTCATTTTATGTTCACGTCCAATGAGTTGATAGATTCATTAATTCTACAGCGCAACAGGCCAGCTAAAATCAGTAACTTTCATCTTTTAAAAATTGTTTTCCAGTTCCTTTTGGTACTATGCTTTTGCTTTGCAAAGTACAAATAAATAAACATATTAATATAATTATTATAAACAACGTCGGGAATGTTTGTAACAAGCAAAAAAAAATTGATTTCCTTCTAATTGGAGTTTTTTATATTTTGTCGTTTCTTTTAGCTGCGCGAACTCACGAAAGTAGTCAATCGAGAAGATAGTTGCTTGAACTCAATTGGCTTGTGAAGTTTTAGCGCAGCCCCCTTTACGAATCCGCCCAAAGGGTGCGGCTTTCGGGTAGAGGGCGGAGCAGGATCCATGGTGGGGAGCGTAGTCCATGCATGATGCGACAACTACTGATCGAAACAATGTCTGGCAACGGTTTGGTTTTTTTTTAGCGACATTTACTCGCTAAAGCTCATGAATCCCGGATTTGAATCGCACGACGTAAGAATCGAACGAATCGTGATTCATCGTCGTGCCTGATTCACCTAACCGTAGATCCCTTTCACGAAGCGTTTCGCTGCCGACTCCGATTTAATCGGCGAAATCTCGATATACGAACAATGGACAATTAAAACGATTTACTCGTGGACTGAAAGAGAAAGAAAGGTAGAGTGAGAAAGAGGGTGAGAGGGGGGGGGGGGAGAGAGAGGGAGGGAGTGTGTTTTAACCTAGTTTGACCGGCCATAGCGAAGTTTCGGGTGCTAGTAACTGTAGTAACTGTAGTAGTAAGTGTAGGTTTTTCAACTAATGCAGTTCGGTTTATTGGTCCGCACCCGAGATCAGAGAAGTTTGCAGATGATCCAGAACTACAGCATTCGATTTAGTAACAACCTAAAGCTCGCAGTAACTGACTTAATCTCGAAGGGCGATATCTGGTTCACTTTTTTGCCTTAATCCACAATATTTTAAAAAGTCACCTCATACCAAAGCACAGAACACAGCGACACCAAAGGTGCAAAACTATTTAACCAACTACAGGCAAATTACATTTATTTCTATTCAAAAGACCTATATTAAAACCAAAATTTCTAATATAGGTTCATTTATATAAGGCTCACTTTTTGAGTAAATTGTAATATCATTGTAAGTGGATTACAATATATATACATATCGAGTAAAGTGACGCTGAGAAACAGTATCTATATTGAACATCGCCATTTCGTAGTATGTATAACTTATTGTTCTGGTCTGGTAAACGAATTATTTGTTTGGTACAAAGAGGCTCCCTAATTGCTTCCATTCCTCTTTTATGATCCCAGGAACAGGGTAAACTACCTCAATAAATGTCACCTTTCGCTAATGACGAGGGTTTAAAAGAAGTAGCATTTCAACCCCCGCGTTGCAATCGTTGCTACACGACAACGTTCCAGAAATGGTTCAGTTTTCCAATTCGTCGCGCCTGGCCTATTATCCACACCGATGATGGCTTTTACCCGAGACCTTCCGTCGGGGTATTCGATTCGCACTTATCGCGAAAAATGAAAGAACGAGAAAACGACAATCATTTAACCAGTGGAAACAGTTGTGTCTTTTAATGTTTATACACTCAGACCAATAATGCGCTGTAAGAAGCACAAGAAATCACCTTTCAATTATTAATATATCAATTATAACAAAACCAAAATATAATATTTTATGTACGTCCGTAAATATTTAACCATCAACCATCTATTTAATGTATTGCCTATTTGTTGCATATATATTGATTTGTTTCATTACCAAAACCTAGATATGATTTTTTTAAAAAATCTGTAAATTTTATTTTATTCAGCGATTTAAAAAGTCGATTTTTATTTCTTTTTTTAATATCTAAAAGAAGACGTTATATTTTATAAGAAATTCATTTTAAAGATAATGGATAGTACTGTGTTGTAAATAAGAAAACTAGTTACATTAAAATTGCAAATGCCTAAAACTACAAAATAGGACTTTTTACTATAGAACAGCGTCAAGAGAAAAAAAGATCAAAACAGTCTCCAATGTAAAATACGTTTTTCAAGTTTGACCTATTTACAACACAACTCCATCAAACCAGGTTTCCGACAAAAACTGTTTTACTGTTATATTTTATGCTTGCAATCGTTAGAGGTGATTTGGTAAGTTGAATTTAACTTACAATATTTTCACTTCGCAGTTTTTTATTCTCGCAGTTTACTGCCTGCAGGTTCGTACATAATTGATTTTAAAATTTCATTAGAGAATCTTAAAGCGTTAAAAGGAGTTCTGATATTATGAAGGAGTCATTTTCGGAAAAATCATTATTAAATAAATTAACGTTACTTTTTATATTCAATTTATTTTTTATTTTGTACAATTTATATTAGTAAAAACCAATAGGCGAGTTGATAAATCACAAGTCGTATACGCTCCCACCCTGTTACCCAAAAAAATGGCTTCAGGCGGGTCCTGGGCGTCGCCATCCAACCATCATTAACTATCTGTATTACTACAACGCCTACGCCGCGCCCAAAAGTAGCACAAAAGTCGCTCCCGGGGGGCGTGACCCACCATGAAAGGCTTGATGCGTCCGGTGTATCACGAGGGGATCGAAATTAATACATCGCAAAAAACTATTGGCAGAAACGTTCGAAACGGGTCTCGTTAACGATTCGCATCGGGAAAAAGGCCGCTAACGCAACGAAACGAACGAGAGCGTTGCGCAAAGCCGACTTCGCTTTTTTAAAAGCAACCCAACACGTACGTTTCTTCCGCCACCGACCGCGTAATCCGGAGACGATGGGGGATCGACGATTGACATTTCGATCTGACCCCGTTACTTTTATTCTAATCGGCAACCGCTCATTTGAAACGGTGTGTGAAATGGTAAAACCGATCGACACATTTAATACGTTTGTTTTTCGTCTTCACCGAACCAGCTTAATTAACAGCGGATTCGTCAATTTTGTCGTTTTTGCAACAGAAGTAACTCAAACCGAAAAGTGCCCAGATCCAAATGGACATGTTAAATAAACGAATATTATATTTCCTCTTTTTGGCAGTCTACTCTCGGAAGAGTATGGTGATATACTAGAACCAGAAACATAGTGCTTTTATAATCGTGATTAATTTTGCTAACTGTTTATTACTCCAAAACCGCAGCCCCTTATAGGACACCCTGCCAAGCAGACCCTTACCAGGAACCATTCCAGGACCGTCTTATGATTTACCTACTCCCTACACTAACAATCGGGATACAAGTATATTTTCAATCTTTTTCGCCGATCAATTATTACAATGTATTATAGTATCTATATGTATGTATACTATAGTATCACTATTAGTATACAATATACAGTACTTTTTTAAAACTCGCAAAGTACCAGCATTGACTACCCTATTTGCAACAATTTTTCTTATAGTTGACGTCGGAATTTTGGTCATGCCACTTGTTTTTATTCCTGCTCCTACTTCCGATTCTTAATTTCTTACAAAATTGTAAACATTCAACATTCAACTTGTTTAGCATCCGAAGACAAATGGATCCGTTCTTTTTATTTGCTGAGGTAGTTCGTCTTCTAAATTCAGCTGCTTCATTCCACGGTCTCTACATTTTAATACGTTAAAAAACAGGGACCCTCAAAAAATGTTTAATTGTAAGATTCTACCGCGAATATAATCTATAGTCTGTTGTTTACAAATCGAAGAACTATTTAGAAGACACAAAAATACAAGAAGAAGACTGTTGTTAATTGAGAGGTACGCATAACAAAAATTATTATTTTCAAACTAAATCTGTTCATAGATATAAGAAAGTGATTAACTGATACGAATTAAGGAAAGACCCGGGAGCAAGTGTAAGAATGAAATATGGCCGAACAGGTCCGCACTTTGCTTAGAATTTAATTATTTGGGGTTTGGTTAGGGAAGATACCAAACAATATTTATTTATTTATGTATGTATTTATGTTTAAATCTAATATAAAATTACAAATTATTTATATTACCTAATTAAATTACTTAAAATTATTCACATAATATATCAGTATCACTATCGCTATCATCGCCTGTTCTAATTATTATTTGATTCTTCTGCTTTTTCTATATGTTTAACAGAATTTGCCCAACTTTGTGGAGGGATGTTAAAAACTTCGGTTTCTATAAGTTTGAGGACATTGAAGTTGACACGGGGAAAAACATTTTTACGACGAATGGCAGATTTCAGTTGGTGCCAAATATGTTCAATGGGATTAAATATCCAGTGGTAAGGTGGAAGCCTTAAAACTGCATGCCCTAG